GGGGGGGGGGGGGAAAGCTCTCACTTTTCTCTTGATATTTTGATCTCTCTCCTCTCTCAACCTAAAGCTTCTCAGCACAAAGGTATGTTATCCTAAGGGTTCTCCCACCTCTTTTAGGCCACAGGACTTTATCATCATTATAATACCACTTAACACCTTTATCAAGCTTTAGAGTTATAAAGGAATTTTATATTTATTATTTCATTCAATCAATAGCCCTGTGAAGTAAATATAATTATCCCCATTTTGTGGATTAGATTAAATGTTTTTGGACTCTAGGTTGATGTTTCCTCACCCCGCAGTGCTGACCAGCATCAAAATAAAATCTTTCAAAATATTAGATCAGGAATTTAAAACCTAAATTTCTGATTATAAAGAATTACATGCTCATTGGAGAGAAATCTTTAATGCAGAAGAGCATAAATAAAAATAAAATATAACCCTACCAACCTGAAGTGAACAGTATTATGGCACACTTTTTAAATTTTATATAAAGATAGATAACTGAGAAATACACACACATATATTTGTATATTTTATATTTAAATACATATTATACATGCAATTCTAGTCTGCGTTTGTCACTTAACATATCAAGAGTGTTTCCCCTAATGTAAAGAAATTATTTCATAAAGATAGTTTTTCATGAATGACACCGTTACATATATATTTATAATATTGAGAGAGAGAGAAATGTAAGAATGGTTCTTTTTCCAGTTGCACTAGCTCTATTATTAGCAAGCATTAGGCTTTGGAAAGTCAATCCATTTTTCTGGGCCCATTTCCTCATCTGTGAAATGAAAGGCACTTTTAAGGTCCCTACCCTTTCATGAGTCAGCGTCTAAGGGCTAATGTACACTGGGTGAAGACAATCCAGAGAGACGGAGTGCTTTTCTTTTACTGGACAGGAGGTTCTAGAAAAGTGCTGGGTTTCCAGTGTTCTACTATAACTGGAAGGACTCTTGAAACAAGTTCAGGCAGTGTGATTCTAGTAAGGAAAAGCTGCCAAAATAACTCCCCAGAATCTGAATGTTAACTGTCTTCCTAGCTTACAAAATGGGCAACTCCTCACTTCTCAGACAGATGGAGGAAATTATACTTGCCTCTAATCTCATGACTATGCTGTTTTAGAATGTATATGTTAAAATGTTTTTTTCCCCCCATTACTTGTTCATTGATTCAACACATACTTGTTAGTCAACAAAGTACCAGGCCCTGTGCTAGATATTGGGTATAGATAGATACCGTCCTTGCTGTCATGGAGCCTAGAGTCTACCGAGGATGACAGAGATGAACTAGAAATCACTTACCTACCGAATTCATTAATTACTCCTGTGAAGGAGATGTTCAAAGTGCCATGCATCTAGAGAGGGAGATCTGGGAAGACTAGCTCCTGAAATGAAATATAACAAAAAAGGAAGAATTTATACATTAGGAAGAACATGAAAAATGCCATATTTTGTACCTTCTATTCCTTTTCGTACTACTTTAAAAACCATGACAATGTATTAATATTATTCCTAATAATATAATCCGTTAGCATTTATTGAGTGCTTACTATGTGCCATATATATTATCTCTTTTAATCCTCACAGTGGATGAGAAAACTGAGGCTCTAACTTGATTAGTTTGTGAACGTCACATCCTTAATGGGTAGTGAGACCTAATTGGATACACAGTCTGAGTCTGGAATCTACAGTTTAAAAAGTTAGAAAAA